CCTACTTCCGTAGTGATACTGCCTCGGAAACCCAAGGAGGGGTCGCTATGAGTCGGGGCCGACTCGACGGCACATAACAACAACAACAACATATCACTAGGCTTCCCTAGATGGCAAAGTGTACAAATGACTACTAATGGTTTTTTAAGGAGCTCTGGTGGAGTAAGGCACTTGGCTGCTAACCAGAAGGCCAACGGTTCAAAACCACCAGCTGCTCTGCAAGTGGAAAATGAGGCAATCGACTTCTGTAAAGATTTACAGCCCTGGAAACCAAATGGAGGTTGCTATGAGCCAGAATCAACTCGATGACAGTGGGACTAATAGTTTTTCTAAAATTATATGACTTAATCCACAGTTTGACTCCACCCAGGTGTCTAAGAAAACAAGCCTGGTGATCTGCTTCTGAAAAGTCATGGCACTGAAAACCCTATGAAGCAGTTCTACTCCGTACACGAAGGGTCACCATGAGTCAGACTCAACTTGATGGCAACAACACAATCACTATCTCAAAATAGGTGAAGTTCATTTTAACTACATTGTTCCAACCTCTCTTGCTGTGTAATCCCAGTTTCCCAAGCCACAGCAACCCGGTGTAAAATTTCTTTTAGTTTTCAAAGATTACAAACAGCCACAGTGCCCAGCAAGACCCAATGCTCATGCAGTTAAGATCCCATAAAGGCTCAGAGAAATGTTTAATCTTTGTTTTAAACCTAAGAAAAAATAGAAAGGAAAAGGAAGAGTTTCTCCATCCCTTGGCCTTGCCACAAGCACCCCCACAGTTCTGAATGTTAGGAGCAGGTTCCTACAGGCTGCTCTCCCTTACCCAGCCCAGGAGAAGGCACCTGGCCATGCCACCTACAACCCTAGCTCACTGTGTTCTAATATGCAAGTACCAGGACAGAGGCAGCCAGCAAAAGATGCAGACTACTACCTGGTCCCCCTATGGGTGGTTCCACAGGCACCCAGGATTTCTGCGAATGCCTACTAGACCAAAAGTTGACAAACTACACCTCTTGAGCCAAATCCAGTCCACCACCTGTTTTTATATGGCCTGTGAGCTAAGAATGGTTTTTACATTTTTCAACAGTTGAAAAAAAATGAAAAGATAACTACTTAGTGACATATGAAAAGCACATAAATTTCAAATATCATAGTCCATGAAGAAAATTTCACTAGAACACAGCCTTACTGGCTCCCTTATACAACGTCTATGGCTTCTTTCATGTGATAAAAGCAGAGGTGAGTGGCTGCAACAGGGAATGAATAACCTGCAAAGTTTTATTTACTATCTGGCTCCTTTACAGGAAATCTTTGCTGACCCCTGCTACCAGGCTCCAACTCAAGGATTAGGTCTCATCCCACTTCTACTGCTAGTGTCCCATCCCAAAGTAACTCTTGGGATGAACAGCCTGGCTTAAAAAGCACAGCCTGCCTCTTTTCCTTCTACATGTCTAGAACAGCCTCTGTTCCTAGACCCCTTTGCTGCTGGGAGCCCCAATACAAGATTGGGATCTGACAAACCTGCCACACCTCTTACCACAGGCCCCTCCTCAACTACAGCCTACAGTTTCCCCTTCCTTCCCAGAGCCCTTGCTGGCTCTCACGTCCTCCATGGCTGGGATTTCCTTTGCTCTAAGCACACTGGGCAGCAGTGAGAGGTGGTTTCCTCTCCAACCATGCACAGATAAAACTAGCTACAATGAGCAAACTACATCTATTTAAATTTAAATTTAATATTTAAATTTTTAGTGTGCTTGAGTTTTTAATAGACATTCATATTTATAAATAAAATATATATTTTAAATGCAAACACTTATTTTTCAAAAAAAAAAAAAAAAAAACATACTTCTTATTGCTGACTAAATATACAAAATATTTAAGTCATTTTGGTTTACTAAAATCAAATGGCTCTCTCTGCCAGACCCCATTTAGGATCACTGTTCCAGTCCTTTGGGGGCATACAGATGCTGACACTGGCCTCAAAGAGGTATGGGATGGGGTAGCAAAGCAGACATCTGTTCCAGTCTCCAGTGTGGAGACCCTATGTCACAGGGCAGTGTAGGAATTCTCAAAAAGGCAAGTGTGACTAGCTTGGTAGCTTACATCTCAGCAACCAATACAAAGCCTACCACTGGAGAGCTAAAAGGATCATGAAGAAAGGCAGTGGCCATACTTAGGATAAAGCTGAGCAGAATTAACAGGGCACAAGACAGTTCTGAGAGGCCACCTCTGTTGTGCCAGCCTAGGGAATGAGATTCCTACCTCTTATCAACTTCCTCAAGTTTGCAAGCCACATAACTAATCCTATTTCTGCCAGCTACAGACAAACTCCTTAAGAAGAATGAATATTCCCACCTACTTTCAACCTGGTACATAGTCACTGTTTACCAAATTAAAATATACAGATCCACATCAGAGATGGAGCTCTGGTAGCATACTGCCTAAGGCATTTGACTGCTAACCAGAAGGCTGACAGTTCAAACCCGCCAGCTACTCCTCAGAAGGAAGATAGGGCAATCTACTTCCATAGTGATACCACCTTGGACACCCAAGGAGAGGTCACTATGAGTCGGATCTGACTCGACAGCAGTGAGCACCAGAGAGGAGACCAAACAGGATAAAGGAGGATACAAATCACGTGTCACTTTTCTCAATGTCCCAACTCACTCCTTCTTTTCTGTTTTCCAATCCTAACTTGTATCCCATCACTTGCTCTCCTAATACAGTCCTCCATCTCTGTGGGAACTCCTATTTGTCTGTCTCCCTGAATAAAAGTTAAGGGTGAATATTTTCTAAGTGTCACATTCTTGTACCTTTATTTTAAGAAGCATGTTGTTAGGTGCGGTTGAGTCGATTTTGACTCACAGCAACCTGTGTACAACAGAATGAAACACTTCCTGGTCCTGCACCATCCTAATTGTTGCTATGCTTGAGCTCACCGTTGCAGCCACTGTGTCAATCCATCTTGTTTAAGGTCTTTCACTTTTTCGCTGATCCTCTACTTGACCAAGCATGATATCCAAGCACTGGTCCGGCATGATAACACGACCAAAGTACAAGAGTCTTTGTCGTATGAGAGTGTTGTACAATCTCACTTCTAAGAACCATTCCAGCTGTACTAGGAATAGGAACAACACTCAAAATACACGTAGGCCTTGTTATTTGCCTTCGAGTCAGACTCAACTCATAGCGACACCTCCTTGGGTTTCCAAGGTGTTATCACTACGGAAGTAGATTGCCCAACCTTCCTTCGAGGAGTGGCTGGTGGGTTTGAACCACCAGCCTTCTAGTTAGCAGTCAAGTCCCTTAGGCACTACGCTACCAGAGTTCCTATTAGGCCTTACATAAACAAATATAGTTATCTCACTTGTGTTTAAACCCATTAAGCCCTATGACTGAAAACATGTGTTATCAATTCCCAAAACCAAATTCACTGCTGACAATTGAGTCACAGCAACCTTAAGGACTGATTCTGACTCATAGAGACCTGAAGACAGGGTAGAACTGCCCTATGGGGTTTCCAAAGCTGTAAATTTTTACAGAAGCAGATTGCCAAATCTTTCTCTCTCAGAGTGGCTGGTGGGTTCAAATCACCAACCTTTCAGTCAGCAGCAGGGCCCTTACCACCACACAAACAGTGTTCCTCGTTATCACTACAGAGAACATACAAAGCTGACCCAGGGATTCCTCCACGGGGCTGTCAGTCTTTCTTCACTTCAGCCCAAAGGAATGTAAGGTGTATTTGTTTACAGGAAACAGGATGAGAGACTAGCTAGACCAACTAAGCAGGAAGGCCAAGGTAATTTCCTCCCCTACTGTTGCTCAGCATGGCCATCTCCTTCCTGAGACCCAAGAACAGGAGACTTGTTTCCCCAAAAAAGATTAAGATAATAGCAACACCCAATTGAAATGGCAAATGTTTCATGTTATATATTCTTAAAATAAAAAAATAAAGAGGCAACACCCTCATAACCACACATTTGCACATTTACTGATGATCAAAAGCAATCCCCCAGTCTATAAAGGGCAGCTGATTGACTACATGTAGCTAAAATGCCAACCTCTGATCCAGAACTTTCAAGATGGCACCTTTCCCCAAATGTACCATTCAGGTCCTACAGACCAAATCTGACCTACAAATATGGTCTGCTTGGCTAAGTTATTTTATTATTATTTTTTTTTTAATTTGACTTAGCTGGCAATATACTGAAATATTTCACAAAAATATCTATGTTTCCTGATTCTCTGGAAACATCAGAAAATCCATACGGCAACCACCAGCTGGTGCTAACAACTGCCCTCTTTAGGTAGCACGAGCTTTCTGGTGTTTGTCCCTATCGGTATCTTATATCCTCCTGACTTCACTCATTTATGGTATCTGCCATTTAAATTTGCTTTCCTTGCTTACCCAAATTCCCCAGCTCACCGTGTACCCAAACACCCCCATCACAAGCTCTAGAACAACTAGTGTGGTAAGGCTCTCCACTAAATAGCTAGATAGAATCCCTGGATCCCATGAGGTGTTTACCCATATGTTCTCTCCAACACAGAGAACCTTCCTGATAGATCAATAGCTTTACTATTGGATGAATAGAGTTCCTGACCATGGATTCTGTCCTTTTGTTCTCCTTCTTTTCCAGTTATTGACCAAATCTTCCTAGTTCTGTATTTTTGGAGATCCTAAGGCAGGGAGACTTCTCAGACCCACAGCTTGGCTAAACTATCAGTAGGGACTTTATTCTCTATTATAAGAATTGAAGCGAGTTTCTTCAATTTATCACTCCCAGCTTCTCCAGAGTCTGGTCTCTGTGAGAAGTTAGCAGCATCACCAATGTCGACTTTGTTCTCCATTATGGAAGGCAAAGAGTTCAGGGGCCAAAATACTGAAGCTTCACTGTGCTCCCAGGTGCCCAGCCTGATCATCTTCTGTTTGATCCTTACTGGGCATCTTTAAGCCCAGGCGGCGTAGGGAACACACAAAGAAGTGAGGAACCTTGCAGACCAAGTTGAGGTCCTCCTTCCTAGACCCCAGGGCAGGCAGGATCAGCTGCCGAGCATGCAGATGAAGAGGAATGTGGCGGGCCTTTGACTGCTCCAGCCCCAACTTCTTCAGGGTGCCAACAGACAGCTTCTATACAGAGAAAAGACAGACCCTTGACAGCATTCCCAACTGCTTATCCTTGGCCAGTACTCAGGGTCAGAAGACTTCCACTGATGGGAAACTAACTAAGCCACCCCGGAAGATACAGCAATGGATATCCTTGGTTAGGGCATATCTAGGAAGGATTTAGAACCCAGGTAAGAGGTAAACTACCACACCAGAGAGGCTCTTATAGGCCAGTACTCTGGCTTTCCAGGAGAATGGGCTGCAACAAAATCAATGGATGAAAAAGATTCCACCTTAGTTCATTAGCAGTAGCATGAAAGGCTGATTTTAGCTTTTAGAAAAACTCCTCCTCCAGCCCACAGTCCCCCAGCAAATGAAGTGGTGAGGTTTTTCTAATAGATTCTGCAGTTCCAGAAGAACAGGAACTAACTGCTTCTGTATTCCTCTAAACAAACAGACAAAAAACCCAAACTTACTGCCATTGAGTCAATTTCAACTCACAGTGACCCCCTTTGGGTTTCCAAGGCAGTAATCTTTACAGAAGTAGATTGGCCAGTCTTCCTTCTGCAGAGTGGCTGGTGGGTTTGAACTGCCAACCTTCTGGTTAGCAGTCAGATGCCTTAGGCACTATGCCACCAGAGCTCCTTACTCTAAAAGCTAGATAATCAATATAGTCATCATGCATCAAGACCCACTTTAGAGTTTTAACGAAATCCATGAAGCTCTCCCCCTTATTTTGTTGTACAATGGGTCAAATCAATATTACCTGGGGGGCCAACTTATTCCAGTCTGAGTACTTGTGATCACCAAGGATTGAACAATCTAATCCAAAAGACAGGTGAACTCGAAGCTGATGTTTTACTCCTAAAACAAAGAAATAAACAACAATAGTTGTTAAAAAAAAAAAAAGAGAGAGAAAGAAAACTTACGAGGAGCCACAGAAACAATACCACTACTGAATATCTGCTTCTAATCATATTAAATTGAAGCACAGTAAAACTGGAAAAAAACCCAAATATAGTAAGGCATAAATAATAACATAATAAACTATAAGCTATGTAGCACCACCTAGCTTAAGAAATAAACACACACTGTTCAAGGCTCCTAATTACCCTTCCCCAATCACATTCTCTTTCTACCATCCTAAACTTGGTCTTTGGGAGCTCTGGCAGCGTATGCCTAAGGCACTTGACAGCTAACCAGAAGGCTGGTGGTTCAAACCTACCAGCCACTCCTCAGAAGGAAGATGGGGCAATCTACTTCCATAGTGATACTGCCTTGGAGACCCAGGGTGGAGTCGCTATGAGTCGGGTCCGACTCGACAGCACATAACAACAACAAACTTGTTCTTTATTATTGTCATGACTTTTTAAAACAATTGTATTATATAATTGTGATGGTTAATATGCCAACTTGGCTAGGATATTGTGTGGTTGTCCTCCATTTTGTGATCTGATGTAATTATCTGCCATTTTATGTGCTGTAAATACTAAACTTTATGTATTAATTAGGCAGGACTAACGTAAGGTATGTCTTGAGTCCCACCCTTCAGTCCCATCCTTATTCTGACGTGAGGGAAATTTCCTTGGGGGTGTAACCTGCACCCAATATACATTTATATATATAGATGGATAGACAGACAGATAGATAGATAGACAGACAGAAAGACAGACAGATAGATAGATAGATAGATGCTCTGGCACTGGATCCTGCCTCTGGCTTGTCAACATCTGACCTTCAGTTCTTGGGACTTGATCTAGCAGCGTGTTGTCTGACCTGCCTATTCTGCGAGCTTCTGCAGCACTGTCAGCCTCCCATCTGACCTGCTCACCAGCTTCCACATCCCTGTAGACCAAAAGCCTGTCATCTAACCTGCCAATGTGGGTCCATCAGGCTTCTGACTCCTGCAACCACATCAGTCAGGAGAAGCCTCCAGCCTGAAACCTGACTCATGGATTTGAGACTTGCCAGCCTCCACAACCACAGAAGCCATTTACCTGACATAAATACTATGAGTCATTTCCTTGAGATAAGTATCTCTTCTCTCTCTACATTTTTTTTTTCACTAATACCGCTTCTCTAGAAAACCCAGCCTAAGATGATAATGGTAAAAAGTGCTGCTTTGTACATATTAAATAAATGTCATCAAACTATTTCTATTTGTCTGCTACCTACTGTTTTTAACAGCTGTCCCTATGGGATAGCTCCCAATCTTGGATTAACATCAGAAACACTCTCAGACAAGTCAACTGCAATCCCAGCTCATCAAAAAAAGCAAAAAACAGTAGTCAGGACAAAGGGCACAGCCCAACATGAGGCCCTGGACAGAGCTCAAGAGCACTGGGCTTTTGCTATCCCACTGCAGACTGGTGGCACCCTCACCGGTAATAGGCTGGAGCTCCAAGAGGGCAGAGGAGAGAGTGCTGCTGAGCACCTGGTACTGAGTCACAGCAGTGTGTGCATTCCGGCTGGTACGTACTTTCACCATTTTCCCATTGTCCATGTGGTAGCTCGGGGACAGCGTCATCTGAAGCCAGAGACATCAGATATGATTTCAAAGGAAGAACAAAAGGCCCAACCCTCTGACAGGCAGCTCACCCACCTTATGGTGTTGCTGCTGGCCTTGTACCTCCTTCTCAACGATGGGGATATCAACTACTCCAACTGAGGGCACGGGGACATTCACGGTGATGGCCCTGCGAGTGACACAGATCCATGTGTTAGCCACAGCAATAAAAGCAGAGGTTTTTGGATTTAGCTGTTTAGAAGATTGAACTGGACTTTTTGCACTAAATGTGGTCAGTTATTAAGATTGTCAGGTCCCAAATGATTCTAAGTATAGTGCTTAGCCTGAGAGCTTGATACTATTTTTACAAACATATTCTTTTTACTACAAAAGTAATACATATTAACTGCAAAAGAACTGGGGGCGGGGGGCACAAAACACAAGTTATATTAGTAACTTGGTCTTTCACTCTAGGAGCTCTGGTGGTATAGTGCCTAAGACATTTGACTGCTAACCAGATGGCTGACAGTTCAAACGCACCAGCCACTCCTCGGAAGGAAGTATGGGCAATCTACTTTTGTAATGATACTGCCTCGGAAACCTAAGAAAGGGTGGCTATGAGTCAAATCCAACTCCACAGCAGTGCATTTTTTTTTTTTCACTCTAGCCTTTTTAAAGGGATATGAATATTTTTAAATAAAAACAGGATGATATAGCTTTGTATCCTGTTTTTTTCTTTTGTTTTAAATACTAAAATTTGGTAGATCCTACATATACACTAAATCAGTGAACACATGAATAAATGAACGAATGGACTGATAAAAACTTATGAGACCATGCCTGCTCTATGTGCCTGGTAGGAACTGAACCCAAAGAAGTTTCAGGAACTATACCACCTCTCAGTAACTTATTCTGAATCACTTTTGACTAAAGTGTCCCCGTCATTACATCATAGAAAGTAAAAGACTGCTTAATCTACCCTTAAATTTATGCCTTCTTCAGGTCAACCATGGAGAGTCTTCTTGGATACTTAGGAGCCTATTACTGAATCACTGACCAAGGGCTTAACAGCCCAACCAGATACAATGTTTTATACTCTAGATCTCTCACTTCAGATTAATGGCATCCATCGGTTTGAGCTGCTATCTAACTCATTTTGCTATACCTAAACTGACCTGTAACTCCTAGGTTAGCTTTCCTAACGACATAGTGCTAGTGCTCAAACATCTTCAATAAGTAAATATTCACTACATAGGTGATACAATGATTTAGGTAGGCACGACTGCCATGAGAAGGAACTCTGATTTTGCACTGGTTAAGGCATTTGGCTGCTAACCAAAATGTCAGTGGTTTGAAACCACCAGCTGCTAGGCAGAAGAAAGATGAAGCAGTCTGCTTCCGTAAAGATTTATAGCCGTAGAAACCCTATGGGAGTTGGTCTGAATCAGCATTGACTCAATGGCAGTGAGTCTGGTTTGGTTTTGAGTACCATGAAGATGAACAAAAAAAGTCCCTGCTCTAAAAGAATTCACAATCCAGCATTCAAATAAATAACTTTATAGTTATTATATTATTATATTTATTATTAAAAATATAAATAACTATAATAAAGATTCAAATAAATAACTATAATAAACAATTCTCTGTAAGTTATCAAACACTAATTGGTTGCCTACTATGTTCTACTTCCAACTTTTACTTTCTGCACCTGATGCCTAAGATCCTTATTAACTGTGTTCCAGCCTACTTTTTCAGCATTTTTTCCCACCATCACACACTTCAAACTGGATCCTATGCCTTGCTCATGCCACTCCACAACCTAGAATGTTTCCCCATCTCTCCTATCAAATCTTACGCATTCATCAAGATCCATTGATTTTAACTCCTCCAGGAAGCTTAATACTGATGTTGTTGTTGTTGTTGTTATGTGCCGTCGAGTCGGCCCCGACTCACAGCGACCCCTCCTTGGGTTTCCGAGGCAGTATCACTACGGAAGTAGGATTGCCCAACCTTCCTTCCGAGGAGTGGCTGGTGGGTTTGAACCAACAGCCTTCTGGTTAGCAGTCAAGTGCTTTAGCCACTATGCTACCAGAGCTCCCTTAATACTGATAATCGTTATCAATTCTGAACTTTCCTGCAAGACTTCCATAAATATAACACTTATCTTTTTGAGCCTTATATTTTAATTGCTTCTGTACATGGTAATAATTTCTATTTTTCATTTCTTGAGCTTTTACTATGATCCATCTAATACATTATCATATTTAACACTCCTATCATTCCTACTGGAGCTCTGGTGGCATAGTGCCTAAGGCATATGACTTCTAACCAGAAGGCTGGATGTTTGAACCCACCAAGCACTCCATGGAAAGAAGACTGGGCAATCTACTTCCGTAAAGACTTACTGTCTCAGAAACCCAATGGAGGTTGCTATGAGTTGCAATCAACTCGATGGCAGTTAGTTTTTGTTTTTTTTTTTCCAGTCATTCTTACTAAGGAGCTCTGGTGGCATAGCGGTAAGACATTTGGCTGCTAAGCTGAAAGTCAGCAGTACAAACCCACCAGCTGCTCCAGAGAAGATGAGGCAATCTACTTCTGTAAAGATTTACAGTCTCAGGAAACCCAATAGGGGTCACCATGAGTTGGAATCAACTTGATGGTAGAGTTTTATTTTTTTATTCAACCCTATTAAGGAGCCCTGGTGGTACAATGGTTAAAGCAATCATATGCTAACTGGATTACCAGCCTGCTCCATAAGAGAAAGATACAACAGTCTACTTCCATAAAAATTTACAGGCTTGGAGATCCTCTGGAATAGTTCTACTCTGCCCTATAAGGTTGTTGTAAGTCAAATAAACTTGATTTATGGGTTTAGTTTTGGTTTTTGGATCAACCCTACTACTATTATTTTTCATAGGAAGAAACTAAAACTCACAGAAGTTCAATAACCTGCCCAAGGTCCCACAGCTGGTAAATAATGTTGCTGAGAGGTGAACACAGATCTACTATAATTTGACACACATAACGTGCCTTTGCAACGATTTTTTGCACACCACAACACCCCCTCGAGCATTAATTTCTTATGTGTTGTGCATGTGCTTGGATGCCTGCATTGTGTATGTGGGTGCATTATATGCAAAAATATGGTAGTTGAGTTCTTAGTTACTATGCTAAACTTCGTCTACTGTCTCACATCTCTTATTACAGTGGTTCTTAAACTTGATTGTACATCAGAATCACTTATGGAGCTTTCTTAAAAAATAGATACCCAACCCCTATACCCATCAGATTTATGAATCTGAACCTCTGTGGACGAGTCTTAAGAATATAAATTTTTAATTTCCCAGATAACAAAATACCTGTCAAATCTGCAGAAGGAAAAAGATTAATATCCAAAATATAAAATGAATATCTACAAATAAAAATAGAAAATAACCCAGTAGAAAAATGGGCAAAATAATCACTGCCCAGAAAGAAATTCAAATAGCCAACAAACACGATAAACAGCCAATATCAATAGTAGATTTGTTGTTGTTAGCTGCTGTCGACTCCGCTCTGACGCACAGCAACCCTATGTACAACAGAATAAAACACAGTCCGGTCCTGTGTCAGCCTCACAATCCTTGCTATACCTGAGCCCATTATTGCAGCCATTGTCTCAATCCATCTTGTTAAGGGGTTCTCCTTTTTCGCTGACCCTCCACTTCACCAATCATGATATCTATCTCCAGGGAATGGTCCCATCTCACAACATGACCAAAGTAGGTAAGACAAAGTCTGGTCATTCTCACTTCCAAGGAGCATGCTCACTATATTTCTTCAAAGACAGATTTCTTCCTTCTTCTGACAGTCTATGGTACTTTCAGTATTCTTCACCAACACAACACCTCAAAAGGATCAACTCTTCTTTGGTCTTCCTTATTTATTGTCCAGCTTTCAGATGCTTATGAGGCGATGGCTTGGGTTAGGTGTACCTTAGTCTTCAAAGAGGTATCTTTGCTCTTCAGCACTTAAAAGAGGTCTTTTTGCAGCAGATTTGCCCAATGCAATACATCTGATTTTTTTTTTTTTTAGGATTTGGGTGAAGATTTACAGAGTAAATTCACTTTTCATACAGCAGTTCACATATACTTTGTCTCATGTCAT